TGCTACCCCGTCGGGGTGGGGTGGGGTGGGGGGAGGGGGACTTGCCGGGGCCTTACCTGAGGGCGGCTGGAGGAGGTTGGGCGTCTCCTCCGCCATTCCGCTGTTTAGGGAACGAGCGGTTCCTCCCTTCCCCTTCCATGGCGGCACATCTCTATAATCGATACCTCGTCCCCTGTGTAACCAGAAGGCAACATCCAGGGGTTTACTTTTCCAGGGCATTGAAGTATTTGGAGATGCTCTTGCAGTTTTACCAGTTACTCATGTTTTTATTTCTTTTTTTTTTTTATTTTTATTGAAAACTTATATTATCAGTCACATTACCACAGTGCCCCTTCTTGCATATTTACATCTGTATGTTTCCTTAGTTTGAGGATTACCTATTTTTACTTACAGCTACCTATTTTTACTTACAGCTAGTCAAACAAGTTCCTCCATCTCTATCAATAGTTTCCTGCTAGTCAGTTCCTACCAAGTTCCTGTTACTGTTGTTAATGGGCTGGAATGGTGTCCCAGTTGACTTGTACCCTCCAAAATCCTGTCTCTACAGTCGCTGTGGGTTGGACTCCGCTGTATGATGCTTTGTAATAAATACAGCAAATCTAGTAACTGCCAGCTGCTTCAGAGTGTACGTGTCTTGCAGGATTAGCGTCCAAGATATTTTCTTATCTTTTTGCTGGGCTTCGCGAAGAGGCAAGGAGGCAGCTGTTCCTCCCTTGGCACGTCCATAGGGGTACGTAGCGCGGTAGTTTTACTTCATCAGGGTTTGGTGTCGGGGACAAAGTTGTGATGGTCAGCTCCTGGTAAGCAGAGGGAGCTGCATCTACTTTCTGATGAATTCACAATAATTCTTAATAGGAACTTGTCATCAAAACAATTTAAGAAGGAAATTCCAAAAGCATTTTGTTTTATGTAATTTGGCTGGCCTCTGTCTGCTAAGGGAAGCCGCAGCAGGCTAATAATTCTTGCCAGCAGTCAGACAGAAAGAGGCTGAACAGCAGCAGGCTTTGTCTTTCCTGGTCTGTCAGTCAGATTTTTTTTTTTTAAAACATGTTTTTTCCATGCTCTTTGATATTTTGCCAGACTTCTGCAATTAAATACAGTACACATTTTTTTTTTCCCTCATGCAACAACGAAGATTGGTCGCTTTTTTACTGATGTATATCTACCTCTCAGCTGCTAGCCAGGCAACACATTAAAATTCTCCAGTATTTGTGACCACAAATTAAATCTGAATGCTCAACAGCTGCTGAAGCTTTCTGTTTCCTTGGTTCTAAACTTGACAGACACAGCCTATCCCTGCTGCTGGAGCTTTGTGAAGTGACAGGATGAGTGAAAAATCTGTTGGGTTGTTGGTTTTTGTTTTTCCCCCTTGGTGATTAAACTGACGATGTTGTGGCTAATTTGGCCTGTTGGGAATGCAGATTTACTGACTGGAGCTACTGCCTTTACTGGGCCATGTTTCTGATCTTTTGGGCCCAAGTCTGGTGGAGTGTAAGCCCAGTATAAAGTCACTCACTTCAGTGAAATTTCACCAGCTGCTTTTAATTTTGTTGCAAAGATTGGTTTCAAAAATTGTTTGATGCCCTCTCGATAGGAAAGAGTATCTTGAATGTACACCCTTTCCTGAACACGAGAAGCCATCAGCATATCAAATGGTTTTTGTTGGATTTTGTTGCAGATGCTCACATATAAAGTTACTGTACCGTTGTTCCTTTGGTTATAGTGCTGAATTATTCAAGATTATCATCCACTGCCCTTCTTCTTAGAAGATCTCTTTCACTGTTAATAATTAAAAGGTATGCCTCCACTTTCTTAATTAATGATGGTGTTTTTTGTTAAGGGACCCAGCTCCTACAGTCCTTTGTGGGTGAGAAGTACCTACTACAGGTTTACTTCTTCAGATTCAGGTAGGTATCTAACCATGACTAATGCAACTTGATTTCTACCCACCTCTGACTGTAAACTCTGGGGCAGAGTTCAGCTGGTATAAATAATCAGAGGCTTCAGTTAAGTAAATAGAGCTATAACAAATTAATGTAGCTGGGGTCTAGTTCTTTTTTTTAATTTTTTTCCCTCTTTCCCCTCCAGTTCTGTTCACAAGTTATGGTACAAACTTGGAATAATATGGTTTAGATTTAGAATACTACTTTTGCTGTTACAGCATTCGTCTGGGCTGACTGCTGTAGTTGCTGGTAGTGGTCAGGAGTATGTCTGTGCCTCTATTCCCCATCAGCACTTAGCTTGGGTCTTGGCTAGAACTAAATTGGCTTAATTCTTTTAAATGGATAATTACAAATTGTTACTTATAAAACGGCTGTCTTGCAGTTGGAGGGAAATCTTTCCTTCTCTGTAGGGAAAGCATAGATAGTGTTTATTTGAATTTTTTTTAATTATTTAAATATCTGGTCCAAGTGAGGATCCTAGGTATTTGTGTCCTCACGCTTTGTCTCTATAGGGGATAAATTCTGCGCTCCCATCTGTTACATGAATCCAGAGCTGCCAGACATATCCAAAAGCAGAATGTGCCTTTTCCTTTTCTTCCCTCACTTTTTTTCTGATGCTTATTCTCCGCTTCCTTGCACAGTCTTTGTTCTCCTGCCCTTCTTTGGTGTCTTTCAATGGCACTGCTGGCAACAGGAGGAGCTATGAACAGTGTGAATTAGTCGTTCTGTCATGGGAAACTGTGACGGGGGGAGAGTTCACTGGGCACTTGTAATGCTGCTGACGTGCACTTACAGACGGTACAAACGTACGTGAGGAAACGCTCCTGCAAGGAGAGAGGAGTGAAAGCACAGAGTTACTGGGGCTCCATGCCGGTACACCCCGTACTAGTCAGAAGAGCTTCAAATGGAGCCGTTTGGGTAGTTTACTCTTCATTTCCCTGTAAAGCTCGCATCAGCTGGGGCTGTTTCCAGGAGTCTTTTCTGCATGGGGCCTTCTGCTGAAACACTCTGACTGCAAACTCAGCTTGTAGGCAAACCTATTCTGTTTCTGTAGGCTGCGATCCCACGTTACTGCTGCCGGTTTGTGTTATTTATTATGTGCCCGGAATCTAAAGGTCTGTGTCACTTCTGAGGCACAGATTTGAAGTGTGAAGGCTCAAGTATATACAAAGCTCTCTTAAAGTATATACTATTGTCTTAAAATTAAGACAGTGTGACCTTTTTTCTTACTCTCTACTATTTATGGAGTGTTTAAAACATTTTAAGTGAAACGTTGCTTGGAGAAATTGATTTTTATTGCTTTGTTTTTCCCAGGTTTACAATGAGCTGTTGACAGCACTTTGAGTAGTTCATTTCACTCTTTGTCTTGTGAAGTCATTTTTCTTCCCCTGTTGTTTGTATAAAGTCTCTCATGCACATCAAAATTGGGGAGGGGAAAAACAGGTTTAAAAAAAGCCAGGTGTTTCCAGGAGTAGAAATGCCACATGCAGTCTCTGTACTTGTAGTTATTAAAGTTAGACTTTAATTTGACTTTCTCTTCTTCAATATATAAGCAAAATACTTGTAATGGCAGGAAAAATAAACATCATGAGTCTAAGTTGTATAAACTCCATTGCAAGACAGTCAGGCATATTAAAACCAGTGCTAATTCCATTAGGATTTTAAAGAAATTTGGAATGCACCTTGCACAATTTTCTTCTCTGGCTACTTTGGTCTTGGTATTTCTGTTTGTTTTCTTGTTTTTCTTAGACTAGCATCAGTCTTTGTCGTTTACCTTAAGACACTATAGGAGAACTTCAACTGACAGTGTTAAAATCAGTAATTTCATACTTGTTGCTATGATGATGATGCAGCAGCTAGGGAATCTCTCATTTTCCTCATATATATGCAGAAAGGTCCCATGGGATGTTCTATAGCTTACTATATAAGCCCTAAAAAACAAGCCAGGCATCTGCTGTCTAAATTGTTTTCAGAGTATTTAGTGTATGCAGCTGCCATTTTTAAATGTTAGCGTTGAGGTGCATCGTGAATATGCACAAAGGGACAGGGTTTCAGCTGGCTTAACTTGGGAGTAAATACAGGGCTTATCCTGGCTTGGCAGTTGACCATTAAAGCATGTTCCTGTGCTTGGACCAGTAAGCGTGTCTGAAGTTTGATGGCTGTACGATCTGTGTCAGGGTCAACAAAGTCTGTGAAGTAAAATGGTGTTTACGATCCACCGTGTCTCTCCACGGAAAGTAGAGGTTTTGATGTCCGGTCACTTGATGTGTCACTGAAAAGGGAAATCTGAGTCATCTCAGTCACCTGAACCGCCTCAGTTATTCAGGCACGTCAATTAGTCGCCTCAGTTATCAGTAACACAGCAGGCAGAATATACGGAGTCAATAAAACATACACTTAAAATGTTATCTGCAGTAACAATTGAGATTTCTTAAGAGCTAAACTCGGTGCAAATGTCCTGTGGGCATACCCCAGTTACTCACTGAATTGTTTTGTAATTAATTCTCTGTGCCACAGTGTTTGCATGCAGTCACAAATTTCTCTCCGCTTCCTGGAACAAAATCAGTTCCTGGCAGTGCTATTGCGCTCGTGTCATTCCACCCCCCAACCTTAAGGAAGCCCTTTCTGGCACCAGGCAGGGAGGAGCAGCAGAGGGAGGCATAGCTGTTGTGTGGATCTTTGCTGTCTTATGGGTAGTGGTGTGGTGGTGTTTCATGTTGATGATCCTTACGAGGCAGACGCGAGGCAGACGCAATTCTGGCATACAGAATAAACTCGCCTGTGTTGTTTGGATCGGAGGGTCTTCTCTGCAGAGAAGAAAAAACATACAAAATTGTTTGGCGTTTTTATTTATTTATTTTTTGTGAAGTGGAGCATTGTAGATTGAGAAAGGGAAATTAGGACAGGAAAATAGGCCATTTAAGTACAGTGGCTAGAGCAACCCACAACTAGGTCAGAAATTAGCTCCTCCAAAAGCACAAAGACATAGCAAATGTTCAGCTTAATAAATCTGACAAGTGGTTACAAATGACTACCAAAGAAATAATGGTTCGTTCATCTTTGCTCTTGGGAAGACAGATGCTGAATGTATTCTTTGAGAAACTTTCTGATCAAAATGGCATAAAGTTCTCGGATTAAGCCTGTAAAATTAAA